ATCGCCGGATCGGCTTTCACCGTGGACGAAGCGGAGTCCAGGCAGGGGTCGTCACATGTGGTTGTGCAAGCCTCCGTCGTCGAATCCGCCGGGCGCCGCTCACTTAAGCCGCTGTGTGTTTCGTTGTGAAAGTGAAACTACTTTGTTTGGCCTTCCAAAAGAGGACATAATATTTCTATAAAGTGGGACATAAAGGCATGGTGTGTGTCACTGCAGTTAAATTATGATAAAACCTTAATATCAAACCTGTATAATGAGTTTGGAAATTTTAGAGAAATGCTTAATATATGCACTGTAACTAAACCCATAAAATTTTTGCCGACTAAATTTACTGTAGATTTAGTCGACTAAAATCTTATGATATTTAGTCGACTAAAACTAGACTAAAACTAAAAACAATTCAGATGACTAAAATATGACTAAAACTAAATGGCATTTTAGTCAAAAGACTATGACTAAAACTAAAATAAAAAAAATGCTGTCAAAATTAACTCTGGTGTCTAGACTCACTAAGAACAATGTTTTTAATGGAGGATTTTCTCACACTAGACTCTGAGACTACTTTGCAGTGTGACAACTACAAGCCAGAAGAGTGGTGAAATCCTACCTGAACCAAATAATTGGTTCGTCAGGATGACTAGAAGTTTTCAGGCAGGTCTGTTTTGGCAGGTTGGCACTAAACTCTGTGGGACATTGACCAGGATTGGACAACCCCGCCCCCTACAAACACACCTGATTCAACTCATTACATTGTTCATAGAGACTGAAATGGGTGTGTCAGATAAAAGAGACATCAGATGTTTCTTAATTGGAAGATTGAGTCCTAGTAAGGCTGTATGTCTTGGCTGCCATTAAAAAAAATATTAAAATAATAAAAAATTGTTTTTGGTGATGGAGGCATTGTTTTCTTTTGTTGTGATGTAAATGAATCACATAATGCTAAACTACTAATGATGTAAATCACTAGGAGACCACAGAGCATTTTTCAATGAGACTTGCTTGTGTCATTCTAGCTTGGGTAACCGTAAGACCTCTTTTTCTAAATTGCTTAAAATGTGTGGGTTTTGCCTTTGTTTTCCTGTTGCTTTCATACTTGCTGAAGGTAATAACAGAAAAGTAGTTTAGCATACAGGCATTGTACATTATGCACCAATCGTGGCATGCTATTAGGTGGAATCTACATAGAATGAAAAGCAATGCAAATACACATACATCAAAGACAAAACACAGACATTTTAGGCAATTTAGAAATCCCAGCTATATAGGACATATCCAGGGAAAAGAGAACTTATGGTCACCCTAATTTTAGCATTCAATGCTGAGAAGGAGTCTAGCTTAGAAGCATCAGAAGGACTGGACAAGGATGGATGCATTGCTAGGATGCAACCATCTGATTGAGAAGCAATCATCCAAAACGTGTACTGTTAAGGGTACTTCAGGTAGAGATTTGAGAAAGATGGTATATGAATGAGATTTTATGGTATAAGCTGGTACTGTAGATGGTTTCGAACTTGAGCTGCACTGCTGTTTTTTGTCTTTATTTGTTTATTTATGTATTTATTTTTGTTTGTTCATCATTTCTATGATTTTTATTTTGGTCCTTATATTTTATCTCTGCTTTACAATAGATTTTTGTTTTGCTTGTTTTCTTTCTTTCTCAGTGTTTCTTCTGCATTATATATTTATACCAGTTTAATACTGTGTAATGTGGTCAAGTGTAGCTTTTTGGATGTAGGCCTACATGCCTGCAGGGTTGGGCAAAGATACATCAAAATGTATTTTAAAATAAAATACCAAATACCTTAATTTTAAGTATATCAAAATAAACTTCAAAATACAGCAACCACACCAAGTATCAAAATAAACTTATTTAGTAGTAATTTTTGTAGTTTAAAAATACTAAAAATACTTTTACAAGGGAGCATGACATTTCTTTGCAAACCTTCCATCAATTGGCCTATTTGATCTATCCCTTCACCATTACACTGACTCAGTTGATTAAGTAAACAATGTTTGATAGCAACAGCTTTTCTCTGCCCGAGTCATGCAATAAATCTGACATATGCAACCAGTTAACAGATCAAATATTCACATATCCCTGTGATCACCCAGAAGAAGGTTAGTTTTAAAGTAACCAACAGTTTGATGTTTAACACTTTGCAAATGACTCCTAATTGTATACTAATTTAGTTACTTGGTGTTTGGTAATGAAGGGCCTACTTTGCATCAGTTTTTCATCTACATGTTTAAAATAGCTAGAAATGACATCATGATGGGGAATGTTGAAAGACTTTATTCCAATGCACTTCTCCTGACCCTACAAATACACCCAGAAAAAGTGCAAAAATTTAACATTTAGGGGTACAACAGCTTGTCACAGGAGCAGTACCCTCAAAGGAACATCTTTGTACCTTCTTTACCACTAAAGGGTGCATATTAATACCTTAGAATAGTAAGATTTACACTTAAGGTACCAAAATGTACTCTTATGGCACCATTATGAACTCTTTAAATAAGGTACAAATGTGTCCCTTTGAGGGTACTGCTCCAGTGACAAGCTTTTGTACCCTAAACGTACAATTTTTGCACATCCCTTTATTTCTGTTATTTCATTTATTTGCAGCAAACGAGAGCAATGTAGATATATCTGTTGGTATGCCTTTTTTGCTGCATTACTGAAAAGGTAACTGCTAGAATTTCTCTCCAAGGAAATAAACGTATTTTGTAAAAAAAAATATATATATTTGATCAAATAATGGAATTTATCAGTAGCCCCAAATCAAGCAATGTGACAGGTGGTATTGTGCAAAGCAAACCGACATAAGATTTACAGGTAAGCTAGAGACTGCTTTATATTTACTGGCATTTTGACAAGCCTCTGTAATTGGATAAAAATTGTATAAAAAATATTTTGAAAAAAATAAATCTGATTACCTCAATAAGTTCTTGCACAAAATGTATAATATCCATCTTAAGTAATTTGACTAACACTAAAGGATAAATGTATGACATTTTGGATGATAACATCACTAATTTTCACTGTATAATCTCATTTTATTATGAAGATAATGCACTTTGTTAATATTATTTATTGCCTATATAAGCAAACCAATTACCCAGAATGTAAGCACATCTGCATCCTATACCCACACACAGTTTTTAGCACTGGGTTTAAATATCTGAATTTGTAAACCTGGATTTCTAAATATTTTTTTTATGCGCGTACATTTGTAAATGTTAAGGAAACAAAAACAAAAAGGATTTACAAAAATGTATAGCTAGTCTGAGAAAAATATTTTGTCTTTGTTTAAAAAAAGCACATACACATGAACTTATGCATGACGCACATGAGCACATTTTTTTGACGTCTGTGTCTATTGATATTCAAAGCCCCCTTGGAAATGTCAGAAATCCTAAATGGGCACCTCTGAAAACAGACAGGGTAACGAACAATTCTTGGACTGTTTCACCAATATTTTATGAAAGTGAAAGTGAAAGATTGGTCCAGGTCTTGAAAGCAGTTGTCAGGAAGCCTTATATATTTATTTATATATTGATTACACCTTTCAGACATCAGTGCTTCAAAAGGAGGTTTTGATATCTTAAATAAAATGAATGTGGTCAAGTAATGTGATTCAGACAGCCCACGGGTAGTGAAGTGCCAGAATAATTTAAAAGAAATAATCAGAATTATTAATTGTATTGCTTTTTTCACAGAGTACGAGTATGTGCACATATCACTGTGTCATCAGATGTAATCTGACATGCATACATCATGCAAACTTTTGCTTTGTAATCTGTTTATCTTGTATATTATGTATTTCCTCATTTTCTTCTATGGGAAACTAGGGATGGTTGTAATACAATCATCTTAACCAGAAAGTGTATGCACAAGGATTAAATTATCAAAATTACCACCATCCTTCTGAAGTGACATTTGAAGGATGCAAGCATCTGTGTACAAACAGGATTTACAGAACACAAAAATTAGGTAGAAAAATCAACATTTCACATCTTAATTTTATTTGTGATATAACATTTCAAATTCAAAACTGACAAATAAACAAATTGTATTATTGTAATGCTAGTTGTCACGCAACGTGTAGAGGAAAGGCACACGAAGAAGAAGGTCATCTACACGAGTTTAATAGAATCCAAGAAGATGATCATCCATGAAGGCAAAGGGAACACGCAGCAAAAACAACATCAATACCAAACAAACTAAAGGAAAAACAGAGGAACTTAAATACACAGACCAAGAGAGGTTAATTAACTAACACAGGTGAACTAAATGAACTAAATCAAAGGATGAAAGAAACTAGGTCAAGGGAAATAAAATGAAAACAAACTAACAGTCCATGATTGTAACACTAGTAGAGTATAACACTACTTTCTCAATTTACTGTACATCTTGACCACGAAGATCGAACAAATTAGGACTGCATAAACAACTGCGAAATTGACTAACGCACATACACGTGTTTCTTTGACTATATTAGTGAGGACATCTTATAGACTTTCACTGTTTTTAGATGTATTTAAAGATCAATTCCATTGCCTAACTTTAGCCCTACTCTTAAACATAACCTTCACAAATCTGTGCAAATCACAATGGTTAAATATAATCATGACCCGATGATTTATAGGCTTATTATAGTTGGTGTTCAACAGGTTTAACTCTATTACAGAGGACATTTTGAATACAACATTTTGGACCTCACAAGTACAGTCAAACCTATGGAAGCTAGTTTTCACATAACAGAATAATAAATAAAAAATGAAAAAGTTAATTGTGACTATTTATCTCATAATTCAGACTTTTTTTTTCACAGTTCTGAGAAAAAAAAAGTCAGAATTTTTAGATACGAACTAAGAATTTATATAGATATAAACCTTTTCAAAAACATGTGCTGGATTGAATTTCTTCATCCTTTTTAATCCAAACTAGGCAGCATGAAGATGTTTGTCTGGGGGAATTTTTTTTATACCGTTTTTACAAATGAGGATGTCCCCAAAAGGAGGTTATGTGATATTTTTATAGGTTTAGCTCACTTCTGTCTGTTGTGTTCTTTCTTCTTTTCTAAGAAAAAAAAAAGAAAGAAAAACAACAAAAATTGTAATTCTTAATGTGGTTGAAATGTGTTTTTTGAAGGACAGCTTGTTTTCTAAGATTAGCCCAAGATTTCTGACTGTTCTAGTTGGGATAGCTCTCAATGATTCCAACTGGATAGTGAAATTGTGCTGTACAGTTGGAGGGGTTGGGAAGACAAAGTTCTGTCTTCACTAGATTTGGTGATGTCCTTAAATACATGACATACTGTATATTTTCATACATCATTACATACATGGTGAAGTGACAATAAAGTGCACTGAGATGATGTGGAAGAAGCCCTGCAAGTCTCTGTCGCTCGAAATGGTATTGCAGGTGTGAGTCTAATTTTAGTGCTAATTATATGATCAGCTCCCACAAACTCACAATTTCTTGCTGAATCCAAACCAAGTAAAATAAAAAGGGTGGTGGTCTGGTTATATCACAGTATACAGTACACTGCACTGCACTGTATACTTAGACAGTAGCATGTTTAGGCACCATACAACCCACGTGATTGCGTGGGGCCCCGCGATCTAGGGGGCTCCCTGGAACACGATTT